TATATTTAGTAAAGAAAGAGGTTGTAAAAGAAGCACGAGTTCTAACAAAAAAAGTTTAATACCTACTTCGAGATTTACATTGGTCAACGCCATTTTTGTATTCTTTGCTTCGAAAATGTTCACAAGTACATTTAATTTATGTAATAATTCTGTAAATATGTTAAGTTGCATTCCTATAAACATTTTGTTTAAGTTCATGTAATGTTTCTTTATACATTATAACGCTAATTGTAAGTTATTTCTTTGAATTTATATAAAAATAATAAGTACAAAATATCCCTCTAATATTGTAAAACAATAAAATATAAATTTACATAAAAGAATAAAGTCACAAAAAAACCTAGCCTGCATTGCGTTAGTTTGTATCGTTATTTTGAACATTTTGATTGCGGTGACCCACCAATGAGTCACGTCGCTAGATGGCAGCATCCCACGATGACCCATCGGCAAATAAGAGCAACACTCGATGACCCACCAGTGGATCACGCTGTCCTGAACGTGTTAAATGCGATGGCGTATTAACTTTTTTTTTATTCGAATAGATATTATCGAATTTAATAACATTTACTTGAAAATTTTTTTTATACTACACAGTTAAAGAGTAATGGCGGAGAATACTCTTCTCTGCAGAAACTTTAAGGAGGCGCGACGTCGAAAGATATCAAACTAAACGTATTCTGGATTAAGGATCATTATATCAAATGATTAAAAAAAAAATGATAGTAACAACAACAATAATAGCGATAATAATTTTAATGAACATGAACACACTCTACTTGAAATTCAATACTTGAGATTGAACATCCTCTTTCCTTAAATTATAAATGCTCGTCATTCGCACCTATGTATCACACACACAAAGCTCGTTCATTCTTATCAATATTCATGAAAGGCTTAATAAACATGTAGAAGTCTTACGACACCATTCTGAACATCTAATAAAATGATTCTTAACTCAGAATACGTTTATTTTGATTATCAAATGTCCCTTGATAAAAATATTCTTCGCCATAACTATTTAACTCTGCAGAAAAAAAGTATTTCAAGTAAATGGTATTAAGTTCGATAATAGCTATCGGAGTAACAAAAAATTAGTACGCAGTTCTATTTAAAACAATGAGGGGACGGCCCTTTGTCCGCCGGGGAGGCCATCAAATTTATTGCACCCTAAATGATTATCCCTCCTGTTCTGTTCCATTTAAAATAAAAACAAAAGTTCAAGTCGATATCTGCAGTGGTTTCGAAGAAAACAGTTTCTAACACTTTATCTGGTTCACCCTATATTATGTATATTTATGTTTTTTTCTTCATTTATGATCTGTTACATCCATTAAAATGATTCAATTTTACAGTTGAAGAATGGATGAAAAGTCAATTAGTAGCGAACAGCAAACCAGCAAAAGGTTCAAAGAAGAAGAAATCGAAGAAATTATATTAGAACCTGACGTAGACTTAATGGAAGATGTTAAATTTCTGGAGGATTTTCCTCCTGGCGTAGACGATGATTCGGACGTTGACTTGCTGTCAGTGGCTTCTGATAGCTCTGAATCTGACAGCTCTGAATCAGACGAGGAAACTGACAAACCATGTTTTATTCAAGGTCAGGGAGATGACCAATCGAATGGATTCATCCATGGTGACATAGCGGACGCTAAAGGTGTCAATACTTTGCGTACACAAATACCTTTCACTGGAAATCCTGGCCTAACTGCTTTACCGGACGACAATTCACCGATTGGATTTTTTTCCTTCATATTTACGGAATTTCTTTGGGAAATGATTGTTCGCGAAACAAATAAAAGTGGACAGAATTTCCAAAGAGAATTGGGATCATCGCGAATGAAGCACTTCAAGGACGTCACTGTAGAAGAGATGAAGAAATTTTTGGGACTCTTGTTTCACATGGGACACGTGAAGTTCCCAAAGATAAACGATTATTGGAGGAAAGATCAATTCTTCAAGGCTTCGCTATTTGCGAACATTATGTCGAGAAATCGCTTTCTTCAGATCCTGAAGGCTTTCCACTGCAATTTTGAAGCTAACTCCAAGGTGGATAGATTAGGGAAGATAAGGCCTCTTGAAGAATTTTTTAACGAAAGGATGAGAACCATTTATGCTCCGTCGAAAGAAATTTGCATAGACAAATGTATGGTGTTGTCGAGAGGGCGATTGGTCTTCAGGCAGTATATAAAAAACAAGGGGCACAAATACGGAGTGAAATTGTATATGCTGACGGAGCCAAACGGTCTGGTGGTGAATTTCATTATCTGCACAGGAAAAGGAGATGCAGATGTAGAAGGCAAGAATCACGCATCCAAAGTGGTTATTAAATTAATGGGTAACTTATTGGGAAAGGGTCATTCTGTGTACATCGACAATGTCTACAATTCTGTTGAGTTGGCTGCGAATTTTCTAAGAGCCAACACATACATCACCGGCACCCTTCATCGAAAACGCGGTGGAAAGTCAAAGGACATTGCGAACAAGAAGTTGAAGAAGGGTGAGATTGTTCAGAGGATAACCGAAAATGGTGTCTGCATTTTTAAGTGGCGGGGTACGAGGAAGGTACTTTTTCTCTCTTCTGAATTCACCGGTGATTTTAAAACTTCCAGAAAGGGAAATTCAATACCGGAAGCTATATTAAAATATAACCAATTCATGGGAGGCACCGATCGTCGAGATCAAATGTTATCCTGTTACAGCTGCGAGAGGAAAACGTTACGATGGTACGTGAAAATTGCCTTCCACATCTTCCAGCTGATCATGCTGAATTCCTATCTTCTCCATAAAAAAGCAAACAACCAATCTAAATTAACGTTCGTCGACTTTCGAATGAAAGTTATAGAGAGTTTACTTGGTAACTTTTCAAATACCGAAGTTAAATCACCAACTCCAAAAAAGATTCACCTTCCGTCACATTGCCCAAGAAACGAGAGCAACAGAGTGCTCCGGAAAAGGTGTATGCATTGCACGAAAATAAACAAACGAAAGGAAACGACATTCTTTTGCGACGACTGTGAAAATAAACCAGGTCTTTGTTTAGAACCATGTTTCAGAGACTTTCATAAGTATTAATATTATTATTACCTCCCCGCTATTAGTTTCTTATTTTATGTTTATACTTTCTTACTTGTTATTCTTATTATCATATATTGCAATTTTTATACTGTTTTGCGTTTATATGCATTACTTGTAAAATGTTATCTACTTCGTAAAATATAATATTTTTTAAGAATAAGTGTTTCAGATGTATACATATATCCAAAAATACTTCCTCAAAAAATTACAATAACTTAAAAAAAAGTAATCGCCGTTAACATTCCATTTGGAAATGCTATTCATCCTTAGCAGTGCAAGCCTAATACCGTTAGTAAACCAAATTTAGATTTTATGCAATTTCAATAAATACATACTTGACATTTTGCTTTTTTACATAATAACCTTTTTACTAAGTTTGTTGTTTCGAGAACGGATGCCTTAGAATTACGACAATGAAATTTTTTCCATGAATTAGCAAGTATAATCAAAGATATGAATACAATTCCGTTCTACTTTTATCGTTCAACAGTTAACAATCGTCCTGTGGAATCTTCCCGTTCCGCCCTCAACATGTTCGCTACCACTGCCGCACCATATGCGGCACACAATGTATTGCTCTGCGTGCTATCGATTTTCTCGTGGCAGTGAACTTACGCTTGCTATATGCACTGCGGTACACATACACACACGTGAATAGATATATCGAGAGTAAACATGCCGCGGCGCTTGAAACGGATACCGCGCGCGTTACAACGAATTACCCAATGACGAAAATTTCAATTTCTATAATTTTCATCCTATCTTTATGAAAATAGTATCAATGGATTGGTGACGTTCTTGTGATGAAAATAAGTTCAAACATGACATAAATCGTACTAAACTTAATATGTAATCAGTTTCAGATCACCCTTAAAAATTATACGTCTCGTTTTCACTATCCGAGATATTTAAATTGATTACGGATAAAACTAGTCCAATTTATGTCGTGTTTGGACTTATTATCATCGAGGGAATCTCATCGATTCATTGACACTATTTTCGTAATGATAGGATGAAAATTAGGGAAACTGAAATTTTTGAAATTGGATGATTCATTCCAACGCAGGCCGGTGCATATACAAGGGTAGCGTCTCGACCGGTCGTTGGTTGACGCACTACGTCTATTGCAAAAAAAGTCAGATAAAAAAATTGATCAGAAGTAAAAACAAAGGTCGCGTTATAAAATAGATACGCTCGTACGCCTATGATGTTAACATAACCACTACCGTCCGATGCATTTAGCACCGACTACACGTCAATATGTACTGTTTTTCAGAAAATGAATTTAAAGTTTTTGTTTCACATAACACGGATCTAGAATAAATGACTTAATTTAGTATAAAAATCCTTTATTTATTACATTATGACTCATTATGTATCACCAATATGTAAAGGATTATTCTTATACGTTTTTTCACTATAAAAACGAGCATTTTTTGATTTTTTGACGGTGTTTTACCAGTACATCCACGAAATAATGCTACATCTAGAATCATCCTCTTTACTATTTTAACTTTAAATTTGCCCCAAGTAAGTCAAAAATTGGACTAATTCAAAGATAAAGATTTTCCTTCGTGTTAGCAACATATATAGAAAGTACTGTGACAAACTGACAGGACTTTTCTTGAATTTTACAAAAAAATATTTTCGAGAAAAGTTAAACTATATTTAACTTCAGTTGATGTTTTATATGTTATTTGTATTAGTATTGTAACATATGTATATGTTATAAATGTAAATTATTATGTTAAATTTATTATTTTCTCTAAAATAATTTTTTTTTTTAATTTAAATAAAGTCCTGTAAGTTCGTGGCGACACGTGAGTATGAACATATGTATATTATTTTATTGCCTCAGTTCCTTTAATAATATCTTACGAACAAAATTACCAAATAATAAATAAATTATACTAAATACTTACAAAATACCTGCACTTTTCGATAACTGTTACTCTGGACGAAAAGCTTTCATTGTACGCTTCTATTTCTAAGATACTATTTCGTCTATCTAATACATTCTTTTGAATAAAGTATACAAAATCTACCCCAATGATCTGTAACAAACGAAAAGAAAATAACAATTGTTAGTAAACGATTGCAACACATTGCTTACATTTTACATTGATATCGCGTTCTATTATTTTACATATTACTAGAAATTTTGACTGTTGTTCCGAATGGAGTTGAGGAGTGTGAAAAGAGCCCAAACATAAAATTTTAGCTTCAGAAATTCACCCGTTTGGAAGATACAGGTTCTCATGCATAAGGCATTTTCTACCCTATTTGCTTGATAATTATGTACTTTATGTACTTTATTACAATTTGAATGGACTCATATAGTTGACATATACGTAACTCGCAGATTTGTTAGGTTATGTTAGATTAGAACCTGTATCTTCCGAACGGGTGAATTCCCGAAGCTAAAATTTTATATGTAGGGTCTTTTCATACCCCCCATAACACCCATCAAGTTTCATCTTTACATTTTGGAAATTTTACATTTTCTTAAGTATATTACCGTATTATTACGTCTTAAGGGAAGCTATTAATTCAAAGACCCAAAAAATCGAAACTTCTGCACGTTTTGCATCTTTAAATGTTACAATATAGTACTTGTGCAATGATTTTCTGAGATTCGAACAAATAAACAATGATGGTTATCACATATTAATAACAATCAAGACAATTACGATTTTAATATTGGCTGATTCACATTATTACACTAATAATTTACATTAAATTTTATATTTATATAACGTGTCAGACTCGTAACACAGATTCTGGTCAAGATACGACAGAAATAGTTGTATTAATAAGAAAAATTCATTGTAATCCTAACTTTCGTTTTAATTTCTAAAATTAAGGATTCCTAAATGTGATTAATCTGTAACAGATTAGCTTTCTTTACCTGATACAGTACTAAAATAGAAAATGGCTGACGTTTATACGCCTAGTCAGAAAAGAAATCATAGGTTAAGGGGTTAAAAATTAAATTTATCAAACCAACAATTGTAGAAAAAAAATGTATACATGCATGTACACGTACCTTCTTTAAAATATACGGAGCATCCACATTTAATTTACATCGTCGCTCAGTTATTCTAACCGCGCCACTTTTAATTTCTTCATCTGAAACTATCTCGCAGCCAATGAACACAGGAATTTGCGGGCACGTAGGAAATCTGCGTTCGTATGCCTACGAACAAAATGAAAATATATCGGTATTGATATGAAATTTTCTCTATCTTATGCATTGGTGGCACATGCAAACACCGCAAAAAGTCGAAAACACAAAAATTAAACTGTAATAAGAAGAAGACATTTAATGGATCGAAAGGATATTTCTCATAATAATAAAGCCCAAACACAACCTAACACTAGCACATTACTTGATTTAAATAGCAGTGCACTTTACCGTTGCAATATGTTTTCATATGACATTTCCAAAACACAGAAAGGTCATAAAGAAACAATTCACTTAAACGTTGTCGGTTTTAAAAAGTGAGTGATTTCATTCGCAAATTCTGGGATTATTTGATTATTACTTTAGGATTCTTATTTTTATTTTATCAGTACATTTACAATTTCGTTGTTTTTCACTCTTTTAAATAATCCTCGTGTCTGTTCTACGGTGGTTTTCAGAACCAGCATTTTACAGAAACGAAACTCCCTATAAAAACATAATTTCATGTTCGATCACATGATCATTACATCCTGTGTCTCTATACGTCGTAACCTAATATAGCAATAATTATAAACTTAACATAACACTGTTTCATCAGTGTTACATCTCTGAAATGGAAGTATGGGATGCCATCCACCAGAAAGCTCATTTGTAAAAGTAAGTCTGCAACTATATTCAAATCTGTATCATGCAATATATGTGGCGTTTCGTATTTTAGTTTGCTTACAGAAATGTATCCATTGTTCGTTGGTGCCTACTTAGCTGTCGCAGCCTCGGGAGCTTGTAAACTCGTGCCACGACAGTTAACGAGGAAGGAAAGTACTTCAGGAATTGTCTGCTGTTATTTGCCTCCAGCTTTCTTGAATCTGAATTGGTGATGAAAATGAGAACCAATGAGAGCGAGTGAAATACAGTGAAATGATGTCTAACAAGGAAAGGCACAACCTCGGCATATCCCAATCCATTCCGATTTCTTCGTAAGCATGTAGTATATGGTATAAATAATAAGTGTAAAAAAATTTGTACTGCTAAGATTAACTGCAAGTGCGTTAAAATAGTATATAATTAAAGTTTGGGTTGTTTCTACGCTGCATAGTTTTCTACGGTGTTTTGCGATTAGATTAGGCGTTGTGCTATGCTTCACTTTTTGAATTCATTATTTTAAAGTCAATTTAGATGTTACTGAAAGTAAATCATTATTACCTTTCAATTTTTAAACACTACTATGTTGTTTCAACTGTACGGAAACTTGAATCGTGAACAACTTTTTCGAAGACTGTACGACTTTATGCGTAAGAAGTTGATAAACAATTGATAGAAAAATTACAGGATGACAAATAAGAATTGTTTAATTGATCAACCATAAAAGTGCATTAACAGATAATTAAAAATCGCTTTTCGTTGCAATTTTATAATAAAGTTTTATTTTTTGTAACTGAACTTATATTTTTACCTAATTGGAAAACGGTATTCTTCAAAATAGTCGCAATTATTCATGATACATAAAAATAATACAGACAATTTTATTTGTAGATAGCAAAAAATGTGAAAAATGAAGTAAATTTATAATTTTGTCTAGTATTGTATACATCTTTTGGTCATTTTCAATCGTTGAAACCGTCTCTGAAGTATAGTACATTACGTCAAATATTGTTGCCTTATAGTCGGATATAGCATGTTGCAAATTATAGAGTATAACGTCATCTTATAGTTATACGATGAAATTTATTTATACAACTACAAAAGATTCGAATATAGTATGATACAATGAGTACAACAATAATTTGGGAATATGTAAATATTATATACTGTATTAATTCTGTACATTGATTATCAAATTTTCCTGTGTAATTGAATCATTTCAACTTCGTTTGTCGTTCGAATTTAAACTAACTAGCACTATGCATCAGTATAAAAAAAAATTGAATTCTGCCTTCGTTACATTCAAGATATAGGATGTTAACGTACAGCCTTCGCATGTTTAATTTCTCCACTTTTTATACGTTTTCGTAATAAAAACATAGTTTTTTTTCGTACCTATGTAAAGAGTTTATTCGTTGCTACGATAAAATGCTAGAAAATAGTCTCTTAATTTCTTGTATTGTCTGCAATCATACAGAGAACATTTTTTTTTTTTCAAGATTTATATTTTACTGTTAAATAAATACAACGGAATGCTACAGCTGCAAGACTTAAAAGACCGTGATATAAGAGAAATTATGGAAAAAGACTCGAGAGTATTTTAAAATGGCAAGAACCATCACAAAGTTACTCGCAGATCGTGCAAATATCCCAAACTTGTATTCCTTTTTTAACATACTTGTAGTTAATCTTAGCAAATACAATTTACACACGCATTATTGTTGACATGTATTACATATTGACAAAAACTCAGGGCAGTTTAGGATATGAAAGGTTAAGCCTTTCCTTCTAACAAGGGGGAATACCCAAGTGTAAATCACCGATTTTTATAAAACTTATGTTCGATGTAGTTTTCAAAAAACTATTTGATATGTATTTTCTTACTTGCCGAAATCCATGTTGAAAAGGTGAAAACAAGCCCCAAAGTTGGAGGTACGGAACATAGTTTGTGGAATACCTCGGAAACTATTAGGTTTAGAGTTTTGAGACTTTCACGGCCCGGATTGATAAGTGGGAAATCTCCCCGATTGGTCATGCAGCGACTTACTTAGCAGCGGGGAGATCTCCCCATTCGGTTGGCTAAGTGTTAAGTCAGACTAGCTCATTTCAACCAAACCTCTACTGAGTAACGTTAGTTCGAATCATCTAAACTCACAAAGATATACGTTTACCGCTCGAGATATATCGAACATTACGACACGCAAAGTCCTCAGATCGTTCATACCTTGGAGTACGACCAATCCATCCTTTGGAGAACGACGTATTAACATACGTTGAATGTTCCAATCTCCTATCAACCAACCGACATTCTGCTCCGTGTAAGGACACCAAGCGTAAGCCAAAAATTGGGATTTTTATTTTCGACATTGTAACAAAAATGATTACATTCGTAACTTTCACACACTCTGTGCAAGACGGAGTCTTGTTTTCACCCTTTCAACGTGGACTTCGGCAATATCAGCAACACTCCGAGCCGAAAACAGGGTGAGCGCAAAATTGCTTAGCCGTTGCTAATTTTCGTAAAACGAACTGCATTTACTATAGAAATATGTACAAAGGTCGATCGCTAAGTATATATGCACTACCGGCCAAAAGTTTGGAATCACCTGCCACTTTTCATCAATATTAAATCTGCTGCTAATTTTTTTATAGATTTGAAGTTTATCTCAATTCTACATTTATCAATTTATCTTATATCAATTGAATGATAAAAAATTCTCAAAGTCGCTGACTTTTTTCTGGAAATTTTTGTGTAAATTGCAATGCTCAGTGATTCCAAACTTTTGGCCGGTGGTGTATATAACACTGTGATACAAAGTGATACTGTGAACACTGTGATAGTGTGTATAACAAAGTGATACCGCGCCGTCCTGCCCGATTCTGCAAAATTCCCGAACATAGCTGGCGGGGGAAAACCCGGAGTGAGTCACATCACGTGGGTGAGCTGGACCTGGTCTCAAGTAACGCGCTTCGCAGGCACCAAAAACGGATTTTCTGACAGCAAGCAAAAAAAAAAAGAAAAATACTTGTGAAATAGTACTTTGAAAACTACATCATACATAAGTTACATAAAAATCGGCAATTTACACTTAAGGACTCTCCCTTGTAAGTAATATTCAATCTTGTACTGTTGCCTTCTGCGCTTAGGTTAGGTTATATATGTTTCTTTTAATTTAACCTAACCTGACCATCTGCGCTTAGGTTAGATTTAACTAAATTACTTTACGATACTATCGAATAAAAAGAGCATGAAATAGGAGGGACATCAGAACTTTTCAAACACGCGATCCACGATACGAATGTCTCGATATATTGTTCGTAAAAAATAGAGGAACATATTCTTCTAAAAATCTAAGGATGAAGTTGAGTCGCCAAGTGAAATGAAGATAAGTATGTGTGTGAATAAATGTGGCCATGTTCGATATTATTTTTACAATTGAAACTTATATAATCCCGTTAAAAGAATCTTAAAATCTAAAACGCCATAGATCTTATCGACTTGATCGACGAACTTTATATCGATGACTTAAAATCAATTATAAATGATAATTAATTCGCAATTTAAAATCCAGTAATTAAAGGAAAACATTTTTAATAAACAACATTGCATAAATGTAAAGATTATGAACTACGAAGAAGAAACGATGTTTACCGGTGGAAATTCGCTTTGAAGAGAAGAATTTGGTCTTAATTTTAAACCTTTAGTTTATTTAAATCTGGATATAACAAAGACTAATTTCTAAAAGCAAAATACCTAACCTAACCTAACCTAACCTAACCTATAAGCGATTATATTCCTCTGCGACACCATGTCAGTTCTTAGGATATAAAAGTCTCCGCAAATTGATATTTGAAGTTGTTACTTTTACTGAAGCACCACCGGTTTAAGAAGTACGCCATTGTGTGGAAAAAATTGTAGTAAAATGAAGCACAGTCCAGACTATGCGCTGGCAAGAAGTGAGTCGGCCAGCGAGGCGGCACTTAAGGGTTTATTGTGACATTACTTTCCGAATGAATAATACGCAAAAACTTCAGATTATAGAGAAAACTCAGAGGAATACAAAAATGTTTAAATATAGCAAAAATAACATTCTACCCAGAAAACTGCAAAATAAAAATTTATTTATAATTTCCGCACAGTAAAAATAATTTCCTGAGGTTAAAAACAATTGTCTAGAAAATTCAAACCCTCCTGAGTAAAATGAAGAAGGAATCACTTTCGTTAATGTCTCTTTAACAATTGAGTTTTGAGGTTACTCTTATATGATATTATCTATTCAAAATCGCATTTCAGATCAAGCGGAAAATTTTTATGCACTTATAGTGAAACACCCCAGGATAAGAGTAGCTCTTTATTAAAGTAAAAAAAT